TAATTTTGGAAATTGTTGAGCCAATGGGGTGGCGATATTGGTGAAGGCATGTTTGTGGGGAAATGCGAAAAATTCCACTAGCTCCGAAATCGAGGCCTGTTTCTTTGCTATATATATATAATTTTATTTTTATTTTTTGTGGAGATTATTATTTATTTTTCTGGTGGAGGGAAAATGAGAAGCGATTGCAATTGCAAAGGGCTGGTGGGTTTCAATGTCGACAACAGCATGTGAGCTTTTTCTTGGGGAGAGGCTAATGGTGGGGTTCTGTGTTCAGCAACACACACTCACAAAAATAAAATGAGAATTAATGACAAAAATAACATTTGTTATCTTTTAATGTAAAAGTGTTTATTTGTTTATCTCTCACATAGGCTATAGCAAAAAGGACAAATGGAAAAAAAAAAAGGAAAAAGATCAATGTGATTGTCCCACTAATCTTTAGTTTACTACTACGTATATGGCTTAAAATATATATATATATACTGAATGCATAATATTAAATTACGAATGAACCCAAAAACTTAGGTTGATAGGTTATAAATTTAATTTTATAATATAAATATCTCTCAATACTCATTGCATTGGTAATTTAATTATTCATCCTTAACAAACATGAGCGAGTGGTGTTAGCTATATTGTTTTAGTTTTTTTAGTTACTTTCTTCAACCATCAAAATTGTAATAAAAGTAAATATTATTAAAAAAATATTTAAATTAATAAATAAATATTTTTTCCAGTTTAAATAAGATTAATATATAATATTATGGCTCTATATTAGTAGATATTTTGTTAATACTTTTTCTGTTTTGTTGATTATTTTACAATATTTTGGAAATATCAATGTCTCGATGAAATTTGGGGAATTTGACAATTTTAGTAGCCTCCTCCATGAAAGAAATCCAATGTGTCCCGTCCTTTCAGTTGAAATATTACATATAAAACGATGTAAAATATATTTTGTCCCTTTATTTTTTTAATTTCAACAAATTATGTATGTGTAGGATGAGGATAAATCTTTGATCATGAAGGAAGGCTAAGTTATATTCAAATTACAATTTTGCTATTTTTATTAAAATTTAAGACTCTATGCCCCTAATCTCATAGCACGTAAATAAACTAAATTTTTGAATAACATTTAATTTCATGTCACAAAAGTCCATAAATTAAAAGAAAACAGATTACTTATTTATATAAATAGTCAAAAAATACAAATTTTTTAATAGTCAATATAATCATAATTAAATCAGTTAAATTTTCTATATTTGTTGTATTAAAAGCAAAAAGAAACTTACATTTTTGAGTGTTGGTGTAGTGACAAGAGGCTTCACTCCAGGTTCGAACCTTTCAAGGAAAAAAAAATGTAAAAGAACTTTTTAATAAATTATTGTTTTAGTGGCCAATTTTTTGGATTTTTGTTTATTGGCATATTATTGAATATTGAGAGGGGATTAGCCAAAGACGGTGGGATGTGGGACCCGCAGCTCCTGGAACCTCGTGCATGGAAAGAAAGACGACGACTGTTGGAAGTGGAAACAAGGTTTCAGCATTTTTTTTTTTAATTTTTAATTTTTATCCTTCCACCAAAATTTAACACCATATATTTTTATTTGTGTGGAAATAAATTCAACTCCATGATTGAGCACTCGAAAGCTCTCGTATATTTTTAAACCAAACAAAAATCTGTGCAATTGATGTGACACGTTAGATCATGGTATATTCGTTGGCTCAAAATTTTCACACACTTTTACAATATATTAATTTAGCTTAGCTGTATTTATTAAGTCCTTAAACTTTAAAAAATATTTAATAAATCATGAACTATGTGTAATAGGTCCTAACGTATATGTTATATATACGAATTTATTAAGCACAAAATTGAAAGTTTAAACACATTTTAGAGACTATTAACACACACAATTTTGACCGGTTAGAGACTAAACTTGTTTAACCTTAACTTTTTATAAATAAATGAAAGATATTTGAAATTACGACCAATAAATAGAGGTCCTACACATGTCTATACCAATTGAGGTATATTGACAAAATCGTACTAGTAATAATAGTTAATGTGCAGAGTAAAAATGAGTCCATCATCGAATTAATTTAACCTAGGGAAAAACTCGATGAAAAATGAAAGCAATTATTTTCAGTTCTTGGTATTTTAATGAGAAAGACAAAAAGGAAAAGGAAAAGGGGAAGAAAAAGAAAAAGTCAAAATCTTAAAAATCTCCATTTTTGAAGCCATTTAGAAAGAAAAGAAGGTGGGAACTGTCTGTGAGGCAAAGAAGACAGCATGGCTTTAAAAAGATTGATGAAAGGAAGAAGGGTTAAGTTAGTGGGCAAAGAAAGCAAACACACACTAACGAAAAAGAGCCCAACTCTTACATGCATACATTCAGTTTTACTATGGATTTGTCAACACCAATCCAAATAAAAAGCAAACCATTCACATCACCATATTAAAAAACTCAAAAGTCAGCGTTTTTATGCATATTTCATTTTCTCTTCCTATATAAGACATCTCTTATTTCGTTGTTTCTTATTTGTATTTTTTCTGAGTTGCACCAACATACAAGACAATTATACAGGATGGAGAAAGATTTTTCTTGCTGGCATTGTTTAAAAGTTGTATCACTTTGAATTTTGAGGTGAGTTTTGGATCTGGGTTTGAATTTTTGTTGTTGATTAACGTATAGTTTGAATCTATTATTAGTCCTACCAGCGAGGTATTGAAAAATATTCAATGAGTGGGTCCATATGCGTGATTGCGGGGCGTGCCTTATACTATTTTTAAGTGAGGTAAGTAAAGCGATAGAATTAATGCACAATTTGAAGCCGACTTAAATGAGTCGATCTCAACCGTCCATATGAAATGCCGATGTATCAGAGGCGATGCTACCTTCAAACGTCACGAACACGTCATTCATACGTCATAAAAGAATTCCAATATGATCAATAAAGAAAAATTACAAGTTTGAATTTTGACGAACCCCATGCATGGCGTTGCCGTAAGATTAATTTTATATTAAAAAAGGGCAAAACGACGGGGAGTGGTGAGGCGCGTGCAAGAAACGCGGCAATATGAAAGGGTTATTTAGGAGAAGGGCAAAATAGGAAAGAGGGGGAACAATCATTGGATACTCGACACCCCCATCAAAGCGAGAATGTCGAAAGTGGGGTGCGAAATTCCAAAAAAGGTGAAGGATGTGTCTAGTTTCTGTCGCCGTGGAGGGGGAGTGGCGCGTGAGATTCGATGCCGTATCTCGTGCCGTTTAATGCCGCACGGCGATCCAATCCAATCCAACGTACCAGATTCTTTCTCCAAAGTTCATGCCTAACCAAATCTGGTGGCGTACAATGCACGCGTGCACATTGGATCCCACGCTTCTTTTTTGTTCTTTTTGTTCTTTTTTTTTTATTGTTGGTTTATCGTCGGTTTCTTTTCTTCAGGGGGTTTTCAGTATTTTGTTAAATTACAAATTTCGTTCTAAAATTTTAAAGCTGTCAAACATAAATGTTCTAATCCTATCTAATAGGATTTTTATTTTAAAGAGTACTCATCTTTGAAATTTCGAGTGGTAGATCGAGAATAAGTTAATTGACATATATCTTCAACCTCAGTTTGTGAGTTCGATCCTCCACCTCTACATGTTGTACTAAAAAAATTTAAAAGTACCTAGAAGATCTCTAAACTTTTCAATCGAAAAGTTAATACCTCAGATTTATGTCTAATACATTTTTAAAATTTAAAAAATGTATAATAGTTCTAATATATTAGATACAAAATTAAAAGTTCAATTACCTATTGAACATGTTTATAGGACATATTATATACGACATTCAAAATTTAGACCACGGTAAAGAAATACTGTCAATCTGAGCATAACTTTATGGGTTAAGGTACCAATATCTGACTATAAGGTCGTGGATTTGAATTCCCACCTCTATTAATAGACTGTAATATTTAATCGATTTGGACTATTAAAATTATTTAGAGTGTGTTTGGAAGTGATAATAGAATTAATGATTTTTAAAAAGATATTTAAATATAATTGATTAAGTAATAACTTAAAAATTAATTTAGAGTGATTTTAAATTTTCTTAAAATTAATTTTTAATTTGTTTTAGAAGATAAATATATTTTGACAATAACAAAAAAAAGTGATTTTAGTCATTTGAAGACACTCTAAAGCATACTCCTGGTAAATTGGATTTAACGAAGGGACATCAGTCAATAAGGATAAAAAATAAAAATTGACGGAGAAAGCACTCTACCTTTAAATATTTATATTCATATGCTATACTGTATTTTGTCTTTAATTTATTGGATTTTTCAAACTTTCCAGTTGCAGGAGGACAAGAAATTTCATCTCGCCGGTGGGGTTCGGATTTATTGGAATTTTTAGTTATTATTTGAATACACAGATATATATATATTTTTTAAGTGCAACCAATGTTTTAAATGTCAATGTGGTCGGAAATGTCAATATCTTAAATTCATGAAAATATCCATGAAAATATTGATAAAATGTCGATGTCAATGGATATTTCTGTAAAAATTAGAAAAATTAAAAAATCGTAAAAAATATTTAAATTAACAAATAAATATTTTCCTATTTATAAATTTGTTAAAAATAATTCATATTAATATTATGTATATATTGGTGATATTTTGTTGATAACTTCTATATTTTGTCGACTTTCTTGTACTATAACAATGTCGCTCCCTCATGTCGATGTCGAACTCATGGAAACATAGATATATCGATGAAAATATCGACATGTGGATGGATATTTAGAACCATGAATATAACACGCAAGGATAGGGAATTCGAATTGAACTTTTTGATTAGATATAAGAATGACTCTGTCTAAACATTTTAAATATGAGTTAAATCAGTAACCTCTCTTTATTTAAATATAAAAAAGCAATTGAGTATTTATCTCATAGAGTAATAGAGTATATCAAATGTTTAAATTAATATAATATAAGTCGGCTAAGAGAAGTATATTAAGTATATTTCTTAGTGACCTCAGCTTTCTCCATAGACCATTTTATTTATTTTTTATTTTTTAAGAGAGGTCTGCAACATGTAGGATTGATAATTCGGACTCGTGATTTTTTATCAAAGATAAATGTCTTAATCAGTTGGAGCTATTCTCAAGTTAGTTTTTGAAGAGGTATATTGTTGCATTTATTTTGCAAATAACAATATTAAGTGCTTGACCGGTCATCAATCATTTTAAGTAGACCACCACTAAAAACCTTTTGACTACGCTCTTTATTGTTTTTGACAAATAGAAAAACCGTTTCGATTCATATATATTTTTTCTTAGTTTTTAAAATTGGGCATTGATTAGTCATTTTATAAATAATCAACCTTAATATTTCTTATTTTATTCATGGCAGTCTCATTCGACTCTTTATATAATTTATTGTTAAAGACATGCCTTAATCAATTGAGGTTCGAACACTCTACCATTTATAAAAAAAACATGCCTTAATCAATTGAACTAGACTGTATTAGTTCTTTGTATTACTCTTTTAGCGTACATATGATATATGTAACAAACTTTATTGAAAATTTATGCTTTCTCTTATGTTATCTTTATTAATATTTTAGAATGAAATTAGCGTGATGAGAAATTTGTTAGCAATAGAATGAATATTATCTATTATTATTAACTGCAACGAAGCAGTGATTTAGACACTTTTGTAATATGAATTTTATTTTTCTCCTATACATTTATATGATATAAATATAATAAACGATAATGAAAACAACAGCTGGAATAGCTCAGTTGGTTAGAGCGTGTGGCTGTTAACCACAAGGTCGGAGGTTCAAGCCCTCCTTCTAGCGTTTTTTTTACCTTTCTTCTTTTCTTAATCAATTTTCCCATTTTCGTTATAATATTGACAAAAAGCTAATTTATTTTTACTTATTGCGTTTTTCTTTTTCTTTCGTTAATCAATTTCCCCCTTTCAAATTTTCTTTATTTAATCAACTTTCCTCCTTTGGTTATTTTATTTTATTTTTTTGAGTATCCTCCTTTCGTTATAATATTGATAAAAATGCTAATTTATTATTATTTATTGTGTTTTTTTTCTTTATTTAATCAATTTCCACCATTCATTATAATATTGAAAAAAATGCTAATTTCTTTATTTATAGTAAAAAATTCCAACTAATCGATTAAAGCACCCATATACGATGTTCGAATCCCTCCATTTCCACATATTTTACTAAATATATATATACACAGATATATATGTGAAAATTGAACTGATTTTAAAGCAAACATGGTTTTGAAAGGCACCAAACAAGTGGGTTAAAAAAGATTTAAATATATGAACTTTTAAAGTGATGCCTATAAAAATTTTTTATATTGTAAAAATTATTTTCAATTTCAAGCCTAATAGATCTCTTAAATTTGAAAGTGCCTAAAGATGTCTTTAAACTTTTGAATTTTTGATCTAATAGGCTCTTACATTTCAATTTTGTATCTCATTGGTCTTTGAATTTTAAAAGTTATCTAATAATTTAAAGAGTTGTCAAGACACAAAATTGAAAATTCGAGAACCTATTTGATACAAAATTTAAAATTTAGACGTTTATCAAATATTTTTTAAAGTTCAGGCCCTAAAGACCCATCCGACAGTCACCTATATGAACATGTTTTGTTTTTAAAAATGACATTGTAGCGAGTATTATTTTGATTTTCAATCAAATATAAGACTGAATCAAAATAACTTGAAATTCAAAGGTTAAAATAAAAATGAAAAAAATTCAAACCCAAACTTTTCTCTTTGCTTTAATGTTGAGAAAGATTGTTTCCTAGTAATTTTATCAGTGGGGTCACAAGAAATCCAATGCTTTTGACAAATCCACTTTGATTTTGTTGAGTTTCTCTAATAATTAAACAGCACCCTCCATTTCCCATTTTGATAAAGCAGCTCAACAAAAAGAATGGAAATCTCCATCATGATTGTCAATTAGATTCAATTATCAAGGCTCACACTGTGGAGAGATTAGAGATACCTTCTCATGTTGAAAATGATGTACAAAAAGGAAACACAAAATGGAAGGAAGTTCAATAACTTCTACTGATGGCAATGGTATCGGATTCATATCGCTCCGCCTTCTCGTATCTTCCCTTTACCCGTTTCTTCACGACTGATCTGGCCTTTCGTCGGATTTGTTTCTCTTGCCTGAAAAGTAGAACAGATGGTTGTGACATGATGACAGTGAAGAAGACATCTGATGTAAGACTCAAGACTCTAATTCATCATATTGGATTTTGCAGCAAGATAGTTGTCTAAGCAATTAGTTTGTAATGTGAATCTTTAAACTCACAGTTGAGACTGCTTCTTTCCTTTCTGCCCTCTCTTTGCAGCGTCGTTGTGGGGCGTTGAGAGTTTGCGCTCCCGGTGGTAAGGGAAGCTACATGAAAGTTCACCTTCCGCTCCATCAGGGCAGTCTATACCTGCACTGTCAACACTTATCCTAGAATCGGAGAATGGCAAAGTCGAATAAGAGGGTCGGATTGGATGAACAAATTCTGTGCTTGCACTCGTAGGGGGGTCATTATCTTTGTCCATAAGAGTAGATGGGAAGATGGAAGACGATGTCACGGAGCTCGCCTGTCATAAACAGATTAATACGAATTGGGAATACTAACTCACCAAAACAACACCAACAAGAAGAAACATACGTTAGGAAAATAAGGAAACTGGATCTCTACTTCCATCCTACCTCAATTTCGAAAAAGAATGAAACTATATTATACATTTTGAAGGATGTTAATAAGAAAAAGAAATTTTAAGTAATGCTCCAAACCTCCATCCCTTTTCCATGGCAATTATCCGATTTATCGAGCAACATATCCTTCTCCATGGAGGAGTACGACTCTTCTTTACTATCAAGTAGTCCTATGATAGGATCTTGATCACCATTGAATATATCGTCAAAACTCTGGAACGTTAAATCAACTTCAGGTATGTTGAAATCATCGCGACAAACAAGCTCATCACAAACCCCCAGATCTTGCATATTTTGAGACCATAGCTGCCAAGTTTTCGTAAAATGTCAAGAAAAAGAAAATAAAATTTAAGAACTGAAATCCATGAGTTGTTCAACAGTAGATGCTGTTCAAAGGGAAAAACAGTCATACTAAAATGCCAGCATTTTGTCACATCAGACAAGAGTGATCTACCAGCAATGATTGATCAACAAACCTGACTATTTTCAGCCGGACTTTTACAATGCCAAAGGGATTCTCCATGGGAAGGAAGCAAACTAGCTGACGACAATGGGAGATTCTCGAGCTGAGAAAACGGAGTGATTTTCAGCTCCTGAAGTAAACTGTCCTTTTGCTGAAGGCCGGTACTGCGGTCTTCGGAATGCTGCAGATGCTGACTGAGAGACTGCTCAAACTTTTCTGAAATGCAAGGCCATGAAGAAGACATGCCATCTTTTCGCTCACCGATTATCAAAGGCGAGTGGTTATACTTCTTTATAAGCTGGAGACGACTCAAGTCTAGAATTTGTTGTAAAATGAATGAAGCGCCCTTCTCTTGACCTTTGTAAATCACCTGCAGTAGAAAGCAGAAACTAAGCCCTCATTTCATGAACAAAATGCATTAGAACACCCAAAAAGACACGAAGGACTGCAGTTCATCAATTGAGCTGCACAATCATGACAGATCTAAGCCGATTAACAATGTAGTTTGTGTTTAATTTCAAGAACTACGACGAATAACAACTAAAAGGATGCATCTGTTCCTAGTTAAAGGCCAACTTACCCGGTTATACTCGACAAATTTGGTAAATATTATATACAGTGGATTGCGCCATAACTTCTTAGTACTTTATTGAATTCTTTCCGAGTATTCAGAAGAACAGAGAAAAAAATCACTACGAGAAATATACCATAACTAAATTATGAAAAACAAAAATGTTCAAAGCTGTAACTTGTGCAGTTTGAGCAATAAAGACTGAAAAATGCCGAGGCCCGTCATTCTAACAGAGGTGATCACCATTTAAGGGCAAAATCAGAAAGTTTACATGAAAGTTGCTCCAACCTAAGTTTCATGAGTTAATGATCCAACCTTGTTTTCAGCTTCAGCACCAGAGGCAGAGACATAAGGGGGATGGCTCATTCTAGCGACCCCTGCTATATTTGAAAAAGTGCGTCCCTGAGCGTCGAAAGTCGTAACGTTAGAAGTTTCGGAGCCACAATTGTCAACTTCATTTATATGAAAACCCCAAAGTGCTGCAAAATCCTTGGCTGAAGGACATCCCATGTATCCTCTGATGGTCCTTTTCTGGTGTTGGGAAGGGGCGACATGAAGGGTTCGGTCGCAGCTATGACACAAGAACATCTGATGATCTAAACACTGAAGATAAGCAGGGAAAGTTCGGCACATATCGCACAAGAGGGTCCGAAGATGTCGACTCGAAAGTGCATTAGCTGAATGAACTTTTGCATCACAGGAAAGGCAAAGATGGGCTGCATCAGGTGTACAGTAAATAATTGGCCTCAATGAAGCACAGAATTCACAAGTTTTCTCCATTGGCTCATATTCAAAATCTCTATCACCTCAAGTCCACCCACACATTCATGTTTGAGTAAGTCCTAATAGCAAATCCACTGGTCTTCTTCCAAGCCGATCCGCGTTAACGGGGGAGAAGCCGATGGATTCCATTGGAAAGTATCCTGCCATTATTTTCCAAGATCCAAGATGATGTGTTCACACAGAAACTCAATTTTCTCATTGAAAGTTAAACCAAAGAAACCTATTTGTTGCTTATGAACACTCTTAAGCCAAGCAGTTCTTCCGCAAGCAAAACTTCAAATCAAAATTCAACCATCACACTACATCCAAGAAAGTGAGTTTTCTTTTCCATACACAAGTATCATATCATAAGAAAGAATCATTTAAAACAAAACTCAGAAACACAGCCAAACCAAGTTAAGATTCAACTCAAACAAGCAGTTTGAAACACATTCCAAAACAAAACACCTCGAATTCAAACAGATTGAAATCAAACACAAGAACGCAGTTGAAAATACTGAAAGAACAGAAATCACCATCGACCCAATTGAAGATTCACATCAATTCTCCCAAAAAGTAAGAAACTTCAGGGCGGTGGGCATTAAAGAAATTCAACAAACAGGTGGGGGGCATGAAAATTGACAAGTGTTTTCTTTTGGAAGCCGTGAGAGAGAAAAATCTTACACGGGAAAAATGCAGCTGCGACTCTGACTTGGGGAAAAAGAACACAAGAGAGTTCTGAAGCTGAACTGAACCAAGGCCTGGTTCTTTCCTTTGTTATCATCATCATCATCAGAAATTTTGTCCATTTCTTGGCTGCCACTTTTGTGGGGTGACGTGGGAGCCCTTTTCCAGCGTGGAGGAGGGTACGTGGCTGCAAATGGGGACCCATCATTCATCATCAACGACGTTATCCAACTGGCAACTGCACATGACCAATCTGCGAGGGACCAGAAGAAACACAGTAGATTGGAGAGATTCGATTATGTGATCGACAATCTTATCTACTGTGACCAACCAATCGCAAGATGCCATTGGATAACAAAAGGGGTTCCCAATTACGGCTTTCTACGGACAATCAAGCAATCGTTATTTGTTCGGAGAGAAATGAGAGGTCCCCCACTCGGAAAGAATCACAAGGATCAAACTTTTTGGGAATTTTTTTTGGCAATTTCCCCTGGAATGTAATGGGGGGAAGAAGAAAATTAACGACTTTTAATCGATGTCACTTCTTGTAGGTTTTCCCATTTGTTTCTAGTTTATTGCTTCGAAATGGGATGAAATTCGAACGAGAGTTGGTGTCTCTTATTTCATTTTGGTTGATTGTGTTGTACATAATCTTGCAACCTTCTGTTTATGCAAGAATATCAAATTGGTAAATGTGGGCACAAAAATGAAATTGGAAACCAGTACATGTTTACCTTACATGTACTTTTAATACAAATTTTAGATAGAATAGAATTTTTTTAGTTTTCATTGACTACGTAATCATCTTGATCTTTATTTGCAAAATTTTTAATACAAATTTATAGCTATACTTCAAGGAATTTAATGAGTCTAAGTGTTATGCTAAAATTTTAATTGAAATAAATGAGATAAAATGAAAATAAGTGTATCAAAATGATGACTTTATAAGAATGAAGGAACTAAGACGAATGTTTCAAGAATATAGAGATTAAAATGAACAAAAAAATTGAAAGTATGAAAACCAAAATAGATGGTTGGATGACAAATACTACCTACCATGTGGAAGAATGAGAAAAAAGTCATCTCATCTGATCCTTTTGTGAATAACCTCATATATGTGCAGTGGGCGAGCTTAGAGTGATTCTAAATAGCACAAATGGCATTGATGGCCTTGAGAATGTCGACGTCGAGGAGTCTCACACATCGACCAGAGATGTGGGACTCACCACCTTCTACCTATAAACAAAAACTCATTTCCATACGCACATATACAATTATGATTCCTTGTTCTGAGAGTTATATGTCGTATTCTTACTTAGAACGTCAAAGTGTTTGTTCACTGTATGCAAGTCCTCTTTCGCATACCTCACTCGAATAGCTCAATCTCATCTACTCCACGCATGCTCTCGAGGTGATCAAATTCGAACACAGGCATAGACTGCTTTTAAAAGTACACCAACCATGGTATTTAAACCCCTGAGATACTACTAGTAAGTGGGTCAATTTTTTGTTTTGTTTTTAATATTATCGAAAAGAAGGAACCCTTTTGGTTGGGTTCAGAGAGTCCAATAAATAAACGAGGCAATCGCATCTTTATTTGTTAGTTGATTTAATGTTGTACATTAGAATCGGATCTCCACGTACAAACTTACAACCATTATGTTGTGGGGATAATCAAAGTACTAATTAAAAATTTATCGTTTGACAAAGGTTGATATTTAATATTATTTTTCCAATTTCCAAGTAGATAAAAGTTTTCAAAATGATTTGCTAGAACTGGAGTATTCTTAAATTGAATTAAAAACTAGCAATTAGGACTTGAAATAGGCCTAGAAAACAATCAAAAAATAAGAAAAAAGAAACTTGAAAACATTACAAATCAATTTGATGTATTCTCTTTATTCTTCCATTTGATAACAATGCGGTTACCAAGCAAATCTAGCAGACAAAGCCAAAGGAAACCTGATGGCCTTCCATAAGCGATTTGTTCACCTTATGGCACAAACGTATGAAGTAGGCCTCCTTTCGGCCCTTCCCTAAGTGTGTCTCCTGTCCCAAAACTGGTGAATTAATTCACAAAATGTGCACTCAAAACACACCTTACTCAACTCGGCTTGACGTTCACTTCGATCATATCGTCGTCTTCCATGCCAAGGCCAGCTGGGGTATCTTCTGGGCTGATTTTATCCCCATCAAAAGTGAAAACCAAACTCTGAGGGTCGAGTTTGAGTATTTCTGCATACAATTTGAAAAGCCGCCCCAGCTTCTCATCCTATAACATTAGGATTTAAAACCATGTTAGAGTATGTTCGGGAGTGATGGAAGAAAAAAAATGTTGAGATAAGAGAAGAGTGACACTGATCCAACATAACCATTGGTACTTCAATCACATAGCTTCCTAAGTACCACCACCATTGGAGACCTAAACTACTTTCATTATATTATAAATGTGGATGAATCGTAGGAAATACCATAATTTAAAACGAAATCAAATTCAAAATTGCAGAAACTGTACAAGGAACAGTAATGTAACAAAAGTAATATATAACATCTTGGGTACAAATCTAATGATCGCCACATAACAGTAGAGAAGTAAAGGCAATCATAATGTGGAAGGGAAAGACAAGAAAATCAAAACAATCAATTAAAGGGTACATGTGGCTAATCACCATTGACAATGTGAAAGTAACCAATGGCCTTCAAGTTTAGTCTGCCATTTAACAATTAATTGAAAGAATGAATTTCCAGTTCTTCCTAGCGTACTTACGTGAGTTCTTCATAACTTACTTACGTCTTACATTTTATCATTATTTCAAGCTTTGCTGATGTATAATATATATTTTTTTTATAGCTGAGAGTCGGAGCTATGCTACCCTATACCCAAGGGGACATCAAGAGTTTTTTTGGCATTAAGCTCATCAAAAAATTCAAACCTGAGACCTCTAAGCTAGGATGACCAAAAGACCCAAACCCTTGCCAACTAAGCTGCCCCTAAGACTGCTAATGTATGATATGAATCATGATAGTATGACTTAATCTAAGGAAAAAATCATGATACGTATATTAAGAGATCAACCAGAGTCTCTACTATTTCCTTTCCCCACTCTTCTTTTTCAACTCAACTTCACCAAATTCATTCATTTCCCTATAGATGATTCTAAACGTGCCTACCAATGCAAGATCATTGAGAAAATTAAAGGCTATTGTGCACGTACATCAAAACCAGTGATTGTAAATCATAAGATACATTCACAGAACAGGATGGTTGCACTTGAGGAAGGCGAAGTCTTAGTTGTGGATAACATGCAGTCATGCACATAAACATACCATAAACAGGCGATACTGTTTGGGCTCTTCCTTGCCATTGTCTTGTACAGAAATAACAATCTTGGGTCTTTCTTTAGAAGCAACTGGAGTTTGGTCATCTAAATCAAGATCCACGGAAGCCGGGGCCGTGTTTCCAACATCCACTTTTGCAGACTCCTCCACGGCTCGCAACAAGTTTTCAGCTGATAGTGCAACTGAGGCCAACTCTTGCTTCTTTAACCTATCAGTTCAGATTACACATGATATGCGTAGGCAAAATGGCATAAGAGACATGCCATAGCAGCTTATGCACTGAGGAATAAGGTTCCATGTAGAGATATAAATGGATTGAACAAGCAATAGATGCATACCACTAAGTTGGAATACCTTAACGCCTTCAATGTGGAATCTTCGCCACACATATCTTTTGCATCAACAGATACCTTCGGAGGAGGAGGTAGCCAATCTTCATCTTCAATTTCCACAACTTGTTTGTCCTTTGGGTTACCATTCACCGAACTCGTGTCCTAAATATTCATTGAAATAAAAGAATCATATAAAACTAGCATTATTGGACTGTTCCAACGAAATTCAATCTTATGTAAACAGAAGGGAATTATACCGCCGGATTTGAAATCTTAGCTCGCTTGGAAAAAGGTGCTGGAGACGTGTCTGAATCCTCGTCTAAGATTTCGAGACCAAACAGAAGAAAAGAAAAACACAAAATTACCAACCACCCGGTTTCGAAAACCGCGAGCAAAAAGAAACTCAATTTCGACATTTCATGTTCAAGCGACAATTATAAATACTCAGAACATGATGAAATAAAAGGTTCCAAAATCATCCACGCTTGAGAATCACTACCGTCGAGACAAACAACCGTGCGAGGCTGAACGCGGCTGTAATCGAACAAGGGCTCAAATTCTTCAGCGGAATCCGCCTGAAAACAAGAACTGAAAGTAAGAATCGAGAAGTGAAAGAGAGAAACAATGAGTAAATGACAGAAAAGAATCCCGTGCCCATCAAATCAAAGAGAGAAAGAGACTCGCCATTGTCAAAGACCTCAAGATCCACTCTCCTTCTTCGAATAATCTTCAAAATACCGCGCCGTAAAATTCAAACTGGTCGTCCGTTCGCCGTCGAATCGTCTACTAGCGACTGCGCGGCCTTCTCGGGTCTCGGTTTCCGACAATGGGTCGGTTGGCTATATATCCAAATTGATTTGGCGGGTCCGGGTCAACTCTAATTGCATTTGGGCGACCCGAACTTCTGGATCCGATTGCTGACAATTCTAGGGCTTTTCTGTACATAATAATTTTGGGAGCTTTATTAGTATATTAACGTGCATATATTTACAAGGCAATTTGTTAAAAATATAATTCAAAATCTATAAAATATAAATAACACATACAGTCAGCATACAGTCAGCATCTGGAGCGCTTAATTTCCCTTGTTACAAACTACAGTTAATTCGGAACTTAGTTTGTGTTGAGTTGTTATCTCTTTATATATATATATATATATATATATATAAAATCAGCATTTATGAATCCAATTATAAAAATATAATTTAATTACCTTGTAAATATATAGAATTAACCAATCTCAACATAGTTCAACTGGTTAAGAGAATGTATCTCCGATGTAAAATTTTATGTTTGAATCTTCACCGTAGATGTTATTGTATTAAAGAGAAACATGTATATGATTAGTAGTTATTTACCTTCAAAAATTATACTTTTTTTGGGTAAATTATAAATTTAGCCTCATCTCAAAAGTTGTTAATTTAGTATATATATTTTATAAAATTTTACTAGGGCAGTGTAATCTATTTAGTTTAATTTAAGAAGGTTATAATACACTCTCCAACTTTCAGTTTTATGTAGTTTTAACATTTATTAGTTTAATATTTATACCATCAAATGTATGGACTTATTCTCTGTCGAATCAGTTCCTCACTAAAATTAGGCTTTTGGAAGTGAAATTTCAACCGTTAGAGATGAATCCAATTGGGATTTTCAACATCAAGCAACTAGCCTTAATTTTTTCAACCATCCTGGTAGTGATTTCAACAAATCTGCAGATGTGTCGGTAGAATTTGGTCTCCATCAAACAATCATGCTTCTTTGGCTTTCTAATTATCATTTGACTGATGACTTCTATTACGAGTGGAACCCTTCAATCTGTAGCCCAAGTGACATCTACTTCATTTAATCTTCTCCAAAATTAACTCACCGTATCATCTTTACATATCGTTGTTGGTGTATCACGTAAGCACAACGACCTAGTATTAGACACGAAATTGAAAGTTAGAGACTTATAAGAAAATTTTAAAAGTACATCTTGAAAGTTATTTATTAGGTACATATTAAATTGACACAACTTTAAAAAGTTCTATGACCAAATATTATCTTTTACTTAGCCAATTATATATAAAAATAAAACTAGAAGGCCAAGCTTCTTTTAAAATTCGCAATTGCATACACGAAAAGAAACAGGCCAAAAGGGCATATAAAAAAGGTTCAAACGTCTTGTTTGTTCCTACACGACGCTTCATAAATCATATTTAAATGCCACAATAATAATGAGTACTTGCATTTTTAGATCATCTTTTTGGGTTGTTTCATCCCCAAATTCCCATTATGGTAAATTTGACCAAAGTTTTAAATACATATATTGCAATGAATTGAATATGATGGTAATTTTAAAGTTTGAATCTAAATTATTTGGGGAGTGAAGTCAAAGTTTGTTGATGGGTTAAATGAGTTGTGTTGCAAAGCTTTCCATTTAAGATAATAATTAATTCCAATCTAATTAATTGATCTCCCTTATATATATGCACTCATTAACCCCCTTTTTATTTGATGAGTCTTTGTGAAAGGAAAAAAGAAAAAAAGAAAATGGAATTAGGAATTAGGAGAAATAATGTTCCAAGTTTTGCAGAAGGGCTTCATGTTCTTGTGGTAGATCATGACAAACACTCTCTCAAATCAATTGCATCAATGCTTCAAAATTGCTCATTCAAAGGTATTCTTATGATATAATAACACCATATTTGTTCATTAATATTCTCTTTCATTTCTTTTTCTTTTTCATTATATAATGTTTTCATTTTTCTTTCTTGGTTTCCCATTCTTATATTCATTGGTTTGTCCAATTTTATTCTTAGTTACCATTTCTTAAATCTTAATATTAATTCTTCGAAATAAAAGTTTGAAAAATATTGATAAAGACAATACATAATCAATTAACCTTAAATGGATTTAACTTACAATCGTATTTCAGAGACACTATTTTATGGACAAATCATATCATATCATATCCTATCCTATATGGAAAAAGCAAAATTCAATCTCTAAATACACACATATATATATCTTGATCTCTTTTCCTTGTGCATGCATGCATTATGTTCTTAAAATTAAGTGCTAACACATCTTTCGACTGTTTTTTTTTTCACTTTTTAAAAATTTAACCAATTTCCAAAAGATGAATCTTTTTCTTCCGGGACTAATTTGATAATGCTCTTTTTTGTTTCTTAATTTCAGTTTCTTCTTTCTTATTTTCAATTTTTTATTTTTCGTTCTCTTGTTTTAATCAAAGGTTATATAAATTTATAAAGTTAGAATAATGTAAAATTTTCAAATTCAAAGAAAAATTATGGCTTTACCATTATAGGTTACTTACATTTTTATGTGTTGTAAACTTGTAATCCATGGTTTGAAAATGTTCTCGTTTTTTGTTTTTTTGTTTCCAATTTTCTTAGAAATATAAGCGTTTCATAAAAGTTCATGTTTCTCATTTTTCATTTTTAAGAAAGGTTTAAAAAATGTGTTGAAATTTTAAAAACAACAAAATCAAATTTCTTTCTCATTTCTAATTTTTTCAAAAACATTGATAAAAACATTATTTTATTATTTTTTTTAAATTCATTATGTTTTTCTTGATTAAAAGAAGAGAACGAAAAATAAAAAAATGAAAATAAGAAAGAAGAAACTGAAATTAAGAAACAAAAAAGAGCATTATCAAATTAGTCCCGGAAAACAATAGCTTCGAAGGAAAAAAATTCATCTTTTGGAAATTGGTTAAATTTTTAAAAAGTGAAAAAACAAAAAACGGAGGAAAGATGTGTTAGCACTTAATTTTAAGAACATAATGGATGCATGCACAAGGAAAGGAGATCAAGATATATATATGTGTGTATTTGGAGATTGAATTTTGCTTTTTCCATATATGATATGATATGATTTGTCCTTAAAATAGTGTCTCTAAAATATGATTGTAAGTTAAATCCATTTAAGGTTAATTGATTATGTATTGTCTTTATCAATATTTTTCAAACTTTTATTTCGAAGAATTACATTGAAAACAACAAAAAGAATTAAATTAAACCGTTACCTCTGTTCTTCCCAGTTACGACCACTGAAGATGCAGATGCAGCTTTAGCATTGATTTTGGAAGAAAAAGATGAGCCATTCAACCTTGTAATGGCGAACGCCGCCGTCGCCGCCGTATCAGACTTCAGCGCCGCCCTCTCAGTTCTTCATCAAACCGGCGTTCCCGTCGTCTGTAAGCTTACAGAATTCCTCTGTTTTTCTTTTTCTCTTTCTGGATCTTTCTTTCTTAAGCTATGCCTTCATCGATAATTGTTCTGAAGATTCCGACTCGAGCAGTGATGTCGACGGAGATGAATATGAAGGCGGCCGGAAAATCCATTGCCGAATCTGGCTTTCACTTCCTCGAGAAGCCGATTTCCATGGAGGACATCGAACTTGTTTGGCAGCTCGTGTACAGGAAAATCAGAAACCCTAGGGCAAACAATTTGGGAGAAAATGCGAATCAGGGGAAAAAATCTGAGATTGGCGGAATGTGTGGCCGAGTCGTGAACGTTGCGAGAGGAGTAGAGTGGAATGCGATTGAAGAAGAAGGAAAGGAAAATTATGGTGAGAATTTTGGAGAGAGAGAAGCGAGATTGAAGGTATCTGGAACTGTATTTGATTACCTGGAAACGACGAAGATGAATGCGGAAGAGAAGAAGAACAGAAACGAGTGCACGAACAAGAGATCGCGGATTGTTTGGAATTCGAAATTGCATCGGAAGTTCACAGAAGCATTGAGCAAACTTGGGAACAAAAGTAAATTGATCATCTATTTCATCATCTTTTTGTATTGAGTTTGATGAAATTGGTTACTGATTTTGTTCTATGATGATTTTGATTTCAGAATCGAGCCCTAAAATTATCCTAAAGATGATGAATGAGCCAAGTTTGACGCTTCGCCAAGTTGCAAGCCACCTCCAGGTTGCTTCTAATACCCTCTTCTAAATCATCGTCGTGGGGGTGATAGCGCGATTTTTAAAATAAGTAATTTTTCAGTAGTGGTGAAGTTTTAAGTATTATTGGCTTTAAATACTATTTTATTCTTTTTATGAAATATTCCTTTCGATGGTTATATTTTAATTTTTGTTTTTTTACAATAATTTTTTTGTTCATTTTAATCTATTTACATAAAAAAACATTTATTTTGATTTTTGATAAAAAGTGGTCATCTTAGTGTATGTATACAAACATTTAACATAAATTTATCATTAAAACCTTTTAATACAAAATTATGGCTACATTCCTAAAAATTTATTGAATGTAGTATCGCGTTGAAATTGTAATCAGAAAAAGATAGAAAATAAATAACTAAAATAGTCACGTTTAAAAGCACATGACCAAAATAGACGTTTTGAAAATATAAAAATTAAGACGAATAAAAACGATAAGTATAAAGATCCAAATAGTATTTAAACCAAAATAATAATAGTTTGTGTCACTAGTTTGCTAGTTAACTTGCAATCTCATCCCTAACTATCATAGTTCTTTAAAAAGATTTAGAACTATTTTATTTTTAGAATATTTTAAAATACATATTTTTTATATTTTTTTTATACATCTATTTGTATTTATATTTAATAGGCTGAATATATAATATTTTACTTATATATATGTTATTTCCTAATTTTCTTCACCATCTTCTAGAAGCATGTTGAATTTACCCATTCAGCAAATATATATATATATATATACATACAACAAAGATGTTGAGTTTACTGTTATTTTAACAAAAATTGTGTATTAAACCTATGTAACAAGCATGTTGTTTAATATATATATATTAATGGAGTTTTCTTAATAACAATATCTTTTATATGGCATGTTCATTGTAATTTAGTGCAAACTTTTTGAGTTTTGATATTCACTTGCTTCTCATTTTCAGAAATTCAAATCTCAAGTAAAGCATTTAAATAAGATAACAGAAAGTGATGCATCCACCCCACTCAGCAGAGTCCAACTTCAACAGTTACCTGTAAAGCAAAATAGCATAACAAACATATTAGGCCAACCAAATTACAGCCCTGACCTTACAGACAACCAGAGACAATTTCAAGTCCTCTCCAGTTGCTTGAATGGTCCTCAACTTCCTTTTCAAAATGTTGATCATTGTCATCTCAGAATGATGGACCAGAGCAACTCAAATTCATATGGAACAACTCGGTCCAACGACCTTCAACCTGAAACTTATGGAGGTTTCAAAGGAATGAACCTTGTCGCAGACAACCGTATATTTGGCGATGAGCTTTGTATGAATGAGAGTTCAGAGAGTTTTGTTCAGACATCTCAATCCAACTTACAATATTTCAGTGCAGATGTAGATTATTGTCCCTTCCTTTCAGCTGATGCAGTTCAAGAGTTGGAATTTGCTCGAAACTTGGCTGGCTGTTTGGATGTTGACAATATCACGTCGGGAACACATCGTGCAACTTTGGATTCTTTGAATCAGAATGTTTACCTGAAGGAGCTTGATGATCTGCTGAACAATACCGCAGAAGATCCGATGGTATATTGCTGTTTTGATGGCGAGGTGAACTCGTTCGACATTGATCAATATTCTCAGTGGCTAAATGCATAACTAGAATAAAAATGAATACAGATACCAAGTTTTGAACCAAAGACTCATCCGCAACATCATGGTTTGGGTGGATTCGGAGGTAATGAACTTTTCTTTGCTACCAATGTTGAAATTTTTAGCTGCTAAGTTCAAAAGAGTTCTGATATTTTTCTGTTTGCAAGAAACTATAAAGGGAAATGAGTTTGCAGATTCATGTTAAATGATATCAAACCACTCCATGTTTCAGTTCCAAATTCTATTCAATGCAAACTTTTCAGCCATGCTATTAGCAAATTTCTTTCTCTTTGTCTGCAGCCTTGCAGCCTTTCACTTTATCAAAATGTCTACCTATTTGGTTGTCTTTTTAGAAACAAATTTTAAGTGAAGCTTCAAACTAATATCTTAACCAGTTAAATTACGCTCGAATAAGCATGAGAGGTTCTTAATACTCATTACTTCAAAAAAATAGTTCATTAAGCCAAGTGGAACGTATCTTAGTCACATGTGAACTCATGTCCAATTTTCTTTCCCCTGTTTCGTGGTAGTTATTACACTAGTAAATGTACGAAAAGGTTGGTTTACTAAACTACCACACTACTACTATACCACAAGAATTCCATGAGTAGACTATTTAAGTGGATCGCACCTATCAAGAAAAACGTATTTTTTAACAATACAAATTTAGTTACACTTTTCCCACATGATCTATTGCAAAAAACGGATAATCTCAAGCTTAGAGTTGTGAACCTAGGTTAGAGACGGGGAGCGCCTTGACTTATTAGTCAAGCTTTGATTGGGGAAGGTCCTCTCAATGCTCTAACGCTCACACTAAATATGAACCTAACTATCTCATCACGTTTTGAACTCCACTCATGTATTGCTTTAATGGGTAAAATCCAACTCTTGGAACATACTATAGCCCCAAGTGGCGAAGAACCAACCCAAAGGAGGTCACGTGGATATTCTTGAACAATCCCTTAAAGAGAAGTGGACGCCTACTTTTGTTGTTGATACAGGTAGTAAGAGATATTATACACAACCCTTCTAATTTACCAAAAAAAAAATTTAGGTGTATTCCTTCTTTACGTTCGAGGTTCAAGTTTCGACCTTTCCTTTTCGTTTGAGGTGATAGGTTGAGTATTTTCATGATGTATTTAGTCTTATTGAAGGACAAATACCTGTAAATATAAATTTTAAAAGTAACATATTCTTCTAAAACTACAATATTTTTTAAAAATTGATGATTAGAAGTTCGAATATGTATCACATCCCATAGCAGCAATGAACTACATTCGATTTATGAAGCTACTTTTTTACAATGCCTATTTGATGTTCCATATGTTCTATTCTATAATTCTTGAACATATGCAGCATCCATAAGCGCTAGATGCAAAAGTGTAACTGGAAAACAGAACAACAATGATAAACTAAAAACTATCTTACACTGTTGTTTATTTGCAAGAAGAGAACACTGTTAGCTTCAGCTTTGTATGTTGGTTACAGGCCCTTTGAACCAATGCCGAGCCCTCACGACCCAGACAGAAACGGTAACAATCAACAAGCAGCCAACTGCAACAGGAGTGTAGTTGAGAGTCTCGTTAGTGACAGGGTACTCGACAGGCAACGAAAAGAGGATCGAAATCGTCGCCACCCAAAGAACTGCCACCCAACCGACGAAGATTCCATAGCGGCCCAAGTTGAAAGGTCCCGGCACAAAGGACCTCTTTGCCAAAGTCACCCTAAAAAATATGGGCAAGGCATATGCAATGTACAGACCAATTGTTGCTATAGAGACCATAGCATTAAATGCCACTGTGCTTCCAAGAGACTGCAAAAAAGTTACAAGAAGTAAATACATCCTCCTGAATATGAACGGCATTGTTTGTTTTCTATAGGCAATAACACTTCAGACAAGTCTAAATGAAAATTTTGATTTTTATAATGTGTCTGCCAATTGAGTGTAGTATCCATCAAGCTCAGAATAAAATTTACTGGAAACTGTTAGGCATGATTGTAATTGAAGGTGTTGTAACTTAAGATTATGATGCAGTGAAAGGAACGGAGTTATAGGGATACAAAGTGGAAGGTAGTTTTGATGAAAATGTTCATACCGTTAACGCCATACAAAATGAAATGAAAGCAGAGAGCCAAACTGCATTTATGGGAACCTCGTTCTGGTTCACTTTATGCCACAATGACGAAAATGGCATCGCCCCATCTCTGGAGAATGCATAAGCCATCCTGTGAAGAAAAATTATACCAAGAATGAGCCAGAGCACATAAATTATGCTTTGGATTTGAGAGACAAAGTAAAAGATAGTCGAATTGCCTGGAGTTACTAGTGACTGAACTCATTCCACAGAAGAATATTGCAATGGCTACCACGCCTAAGCAAATAATTCCTCCAACTCCACTGCCATATCTACTCTTGAACGCTTGATAAAATATTTCAGCAATGGCATAACCTCCCGCATCATTGTTTTCATCCAAAAGGTTTGGGATGCTGGTAACGGCGAAGGTGATGCCGAGTATGTAACACCAACCAACAACAATTGATATCCCAATGGAACTAATTATTCCTCTCGGTCCGTTCTTATCAGCTTCCTTTGTTTCCTCTGTCTATAATTTTGTAGGAAGAAGCAAATTTCGTTGCAAGTTATCTAACCATTATATATATATAGACACAAGACAAATTACTAAAACAGAGGTAGAGGAGAACTTGCCATATGAGCAGAAGCATCATATCCAGTTAGGGTATATTGACTCATCAGAAGTCCCAAAACAAATATGTAAAGTCTACTGTTAATTCCTTCCCCATTATCAGTATTGAAATGAGTGAAAACAAACTTGGGACTGGCCCTTTCCGTTGCGACCAAGGGAACGAGAATTGTAAGAAGAATAACACCTAAGAATGTGACATCCTGTTAGAAATGTAAGCTTGAGAAAGTGAACTGGAAGTTCAAAGAAAGGGAAACTGGAATCTTCATATACCTATGAAGTTCCATGCTGCAGCAAACTGTCCAAAGAAAGACAACCATGAAATGGGCAGGCTGTTCATGATAGCATGTACTAACAAAATTGCACCATGGAAAAGAATCACTACATATTTAGATGCCTCATATCCACCATTGTTTTTACCCCCTGTGCTAAGTAGAACTATCACTTGAATTAGCTGAGCAAGTGAATAGTCAACACTTGTTGTGACAGCCCACTGCATATAGATCACTTCCATCAGTTAGAGTATATCAAAGAGAAAAAAAAGCTTAACCTGATCATAAGAATTTGAATTTTGGGTATAAGAGCCTTAGTAGAAGACCTGTCCAACAATGTTAAACCTGTGCAAAGATCAAAGTTATTCGCAAGAAATCAGAAGGTGTCAAGGCAGAATAGATAAGTGCAAGGAAAACAATGCAATTGGAGTTTCAGAATACTTCAGAATAGGAGCAGGAAAAAAGATGGTGCTTCAAATACTTCAACCATGAACATTTCTTCAATTGTAAACGATGAGAAAGATTTCTGCTAAACTAGACAACTTAAAGTTTTCAAATCCTGGTGATAATCTGATATTGCATTCTAATTTGAGCATCCAATCGGAGTAAGATGAAAATTATGACCTGAAAAAGCTGAAAGAAGATAACAAAGATTACCAGCCAGTCATCCAAGAGGCAAAAGGAGCCCAACTTGGACCCGCAAGCTTGGCACTCCAATAGTAGAGACCTCCAGAAGTTGGATACGAGGAACAGATCTCAGCCATGGACAACCCAACAAACATGGTGAAAATCCCAGCAATAAACCATCCATAAACCAACGAAACGGGGCCGCCAAAATTCAGCCCGTTATTGTAAAGAGTGGTTATACCAGTGAGCACCGAGATAATCGAAAACGAAAACGCAAAATTAGAAACGACCCTGCAATTTCAAAAGGAAACCCATCAACAACGATTGAATCAAAACCCGCACAATCGCGAGGAAAAAGAGGAAGCAGATGGTTATGGAAACTTACGAGAGGTCGCGCTTGAGCTCTTGTTTGTATCCGAGCTCATTGAGACGAGCATGGCCGGTATCGAGCAAACCAGTGCCCTTTGGCGCCACCATAGCCTCAGAATCGAATACAGAAGAGGGAAAAGAGAGACGGAAGCTCGGTTGATTCAGTGGAAAGAACCCATCCTCCTGTCTTCTCCGTCCCCAAATTTTGGAGTCCGATTTCAAATGACTTTTCTCACTGCAGAAATCACTGCGTTATTGTTTCGCTCCGTTGAAGAATAATCCGATTTTAGTTCGGTCAAACAAAGCGCTGATTCTGAAGCTAAATTTATGGCGCGAGGGGACGAAAATTGGCGGCCATGGCCAAGATTGCATGCTCTGGCCTTACCCTTTACAGTCAAACACAACTCATTCTGATTTGATTGGTAAATTACTCATTCTGATTTTTTATTATTATTATTTTTTTGGGAGGAAAATGGAGATTGGAGAATCCCATTTGTTTGATTTTGTTTGAGTTTTTTATTTTTTTTTATTTTTAGGGCACTTTTAAATATAATATTAAATATTGTATATTTTAAGAAATTTAGATTCAAGTAGGGTGGATATCTTAATTAATATTGAAATAAAGGTGTTTAAACTTTTTTCGAAAATAGGTGTTTTGCTGGGTTGACGTGGATTTTTACATGGTTTGTAGTGCACGCTGATAATCATATCAATAAACTAATTAATATAGAGAGAATAACCCTCGGTAGAAAGGATAGAAAAAGAATAAGATATTTTGAAAGAAAAATAAGATATTTCGAACTTCCAAAAACCACCTCTTTTATAACAATTTAAATTTTTTTCGCTTATTTGGTAATGCCATGGTTTCTATTTTTCTATTTTTAATGAAGAAAAATGTATGACATCGTTTCAATTTTCAATAATTTAAGTATGATAAAACAATTTTTTTATTAACATAAATTGGAAATGAAAACTAGAAAGGAGAAATTTATTTTGATTGTTTCCAAAAATTTTATATAATTGTGAGAATGTTCCCAAAAAATAGAAACAAAAAATAAAGTTAGTGGTAAAATGCTTAGATTTCTTAAGAAAATTGGAAACGAAAAATAAAAAATGGAAACATCACCCAACGGCCCAAAATATCTTAAAAGTTTGAACTTAGCTTACATGGTTCTTTTCTATCAATGTGATATGTGATAGATGAATCATGATTAATTCTTTTTTTTTTTTAATTAGTTCACGTTGTCAAGTTAAAAAGTACCAACGATCTTGAATTTATTTGGACACAAACACGACTTAGATGCTACTTGACACATAAAATTAAACTTGTTATCAAATTTGACCAACCCTTCGACAAAATTCTATTTTTTCAAGTGACTTGTCAATTTAAATATATTAATAAAATAATAATTTAATGACACAAGTATTCTATTGATAAAGGAAACTTTAATTGAAAATTTTAAATATATTAAAGAGAAATTTATTGATTTTAAAAGATTTAATACGGAATTAATAATTACCTACAAGATTTAGGACCTATTCATGAATTAAAAGGGTTGAAATAAATAATCAAATAAAACAAAAATTAGTTTGCGTCTTGCTCTTGAGTCTTAGATAATTTTGTATTACTTTTTTAATTCGTAAGGGACTTTTGTTTCTTTCTCATTCGAAACTCAAAAAAAAATATATATATATAGTAATAATGATAAAAATAATAATAAATTATCCAGCTTTCTTTCTTTTTAAATTGCATCAGTTTCTCTCACGTCTCATCCCACCTACCTCCTCATCCTTTTTAAATGTGAAGGTTGGATGATGGGAACTTGTTATTAGAAGCACGATGGGTCCATTGGAAGATGATTTTGTTTTCTTTTTCTAATACAATAGGTGGGATGGGATCAAAATTACTTGGTTGAAAAACTATCATTAAGTTATGTTCGCTTTAACCTAACAGCAGAGATCGATAAAGTTCAATACTAAATGGTTATCATAAGAACAAGTATGTTCTTTAACCAAAATTTTAAAGTTAATGTTTATGTTAACTTATTATTGGACTATATCATTAATAAGAGGTTGTGGTCATAAATTTTCAGGAGCGAATTTTTCCGAGAAGAATTAGATAAAACTAAAAAAAGATTTTTAAAAATGTAACCCAGATAGAGAGGCCACTCCATTTTTTTTTTCTTTCTAAAAACTAAATCAAATGAAGAAAATATATTAACAAATCTAATAGATTCTAAATAAATATCAACTCAAATGAGTCTTAATTTTGGTATATTATAGCTAAAGAGATTTAAAAAGATAAACCCTAAGATGTCGTTTGTTTTTCGGGAATGTAGATGATCGGCATCTTGAGATATCCGGAATTTCAGATGCCCGGAAGGTTCGATGTCCGACATCTTTAGATAACCACGTTTGTTTCGTAGAAATATTATTAAAGATATCTAGGACTATTTGGATAGTCGCGTTTGTTTTGCTGGATTTATTTTTAGGAAGAAAAATATCACGAGTATGTTCGCCATAAAAAAATGTTGCTTTACAATCATATATTTATGATAATAAATATTATTAATAATGTAATTCCTTCCCAATATTAAAAACAAATGGATATATTATATAATTTAATTGTAGTTTATTTTACATGTAAATCTGATGTACGAATATACTTAATAGCATAAAGTTATTTATTACACGATGAGTATATTAATTTATTTTAATTATAAATTAATAAACAAATTTTTTAGAAAAAATTTTAAAAAATTGATGAAAAAACATATGGAGAAAAAAATAGAGGGCAAAAATGTAAAAAAGTGGATGTCATCAGCACGCAATCTTGGAAACTCGTATTCATAAGGACATCAACTCTCTAGACATCTCGAAATAACTGAGTTTCTTACATTACCGTAAAACAAACGTGGGAATCCAGATGTCCGTCTCATGTTGGTTGAAGAAGATGAAGCGAAAACATTTTCTCCCGGCCGGCGAGTTGGATTTCACGGCGGCTTACAGACGAGACATTCACGAGTTTCCGCTAAATTCCGGATATGATTTTCTTCTCACAATTAGTGATTGGTTTTTTCCCCCAAGAACTTGGAATCTGTCCAATCCAATTTTTTCCGTAGAAATTTGATTTTTTTTAATAAAAAAAGGGATTAGGTTTGGTTTATATTGTTTTCAAGTTATACATGATATTATAATAAATAGGTTGGTAAAATTATTTTTTTTAGTACAACATGTGGAGGTAGGAGTTTAAATTCATGATTTTTTGATCAGAGATAGATGTCTTAACTTTGAACTATGTTTGGTTTAGCAACCACTCTTTTAATCGGTAGATAATTAATGAACTGCCGACTCTTTTAATTGGTAGATAATTAAAATTTGGGAAATAGACAACTTGACCTCCTTTCCATATTTGCCCCCAGCACCAAACGGCACTTGCATTCTGGCAACTTTATGATTACTTGCTCAAAAAGGTAAACCCCAATTCCAATGTAAATCGAATCCACGGCTAGTTCTTCTTCTTTATTTTCTTAATAAATCCTGATATTTAATAAAATAAATCGAATCCATCCTCATATTTAAGAAAGACCAAAAGTTAGGGTTTCTTTCTTTCTCTCTCCCCTAGCTTCTGCTCCTAAACTCCATCCTCCGACGCCCACGCCTTGACGGAACCGCCTCCGCCGTCGCCCGCTCAGTCCGTTCCGCCGGCGATCTCGCATCATCTGAATTATCCGGACTCCGTGGACTCCTCTCCGATGTATCACTAACACCGATTCCTGGGACGAACACCTCGCTGCAGCCACCAACGCTGGCCGGCTCCGTCTTATGTACAGCTACGGCGGCCATATAGTCCCTCGCCCCCACGACAAACTCTGTGCTATGTGTGCGGTGAGACTCGGATCGTTGTTGTGGACCACCATACGTCTTTATCTGACCTCACTGCCCGTTTRTCGAAGACGCTTCTCAATGGCCGTCCGTTAATTGGATTCTCTCATTTCCGTTGCCACCGATGAGGATGAGTATGATCGGCCAATTCTCAAGCGCTCGAATAGTTCCGAGGACTGGTTTCTTAATGCTTCTGGCCTTCTCTGGCCAATTTGCCGCTTATTTTCAAGAGTTTGGTTCAAACAAAAACAGGATATTGCACAAAAATGGAGTAGAATAATTTGTTTTTATTTTTTTAAAATTTTTTTTAATCATTGCATTCTCTATAAATACTGGACTGATTTTGAGTTAGTATAGTATACCTCTAACCACCATGGTTTACATGAACATCACCAGAGTTTCTCCCTTCCTGAACTCCCTCCATATGTTCACCCAACTTACTGATTTAGTAGAAATTCACTTCTTGCCCGCATTGATTAGCTTTGTCGTCGCCACTTCCCTGGCTTCACTGCAGAGATACAAATATCTCCTGGTTTCTTCAGCTTTCAAGAGGGTCCTGACGATTCTAGATTTTCCCTCCAGGAATTCTTCAGTGAAGTTCAGCAATTAATTATCCTCAATTAAAATCAGGGTTCTACCTACCCTGATGAGCTTGAGTTTTTTTGTGTTTCTTTGTGTATTCTTGATACTAAATTTATTAAATCTCTCGTCTTTATATAAATTTAATTTTGCAGGCAGGATAATGCAAAATTAAAGGTTACACTATGGATTTGCCATCAAGGGCACATAGGCCCGGCCTCTCTGTAAAATCCCAGCATCATAGGTAAGCTACAGGAAAGAAAAAATATTAACAACTTGTTGGGCTTTCTTTCTTTCTGTCTCCCACGTCTCATGCCACTTAACTCATCCTTTTTAAATTTGAAAGTTGCTTATGGGTTTGTTTTAGTCATTTAGATCACAATATTAGTTTCAATCCTACACTTTATCAACAAACTTAATCTTGTTTAGGTCTGGTCTGGACCGATATGGAATGAATTATATTCATGGAATATCATCATTCTAAATTCATAATCTTAATCCATTCCCATTTTGAAAGGTTCGAAATATAAAAAAAAAAAATCGAAATGAAAATCAATCAAAAAATGATTATTTAATATAAATTTTTTGGAATCAGGATGATAAATAGTTTGATATTATTTACTAAACCAATTAAGAATAAGAATAGGAATGAGATGTATAATAATCATCAGTATCTCTCTTTTTCTCCTTTCTAACTAATTACAAAAGAGTGCTTATCTTTTTTTAATTAAAATAATAATTACTTTTAATTTATTTTACTATTATTTTTTTCTGGTAAATATTTATTATTATAACAATTTATTTAATATTAAAAGATAATAAATAATTAAAATAAAATTACATCAAAGTTACTTTTTATTAAAATAACAATAATTTAATATAAAATATTATTAATTTGTATTGTTCTAATATTTAATAATAATGAATAATTTTTAAAAATTTTATTGATATTAATTAATAACAGCAAAGTAATATTAAATAATTAACAAATTAATTTACGTTTGTAATATTTTATAATAAAAATACATTACAACCAATAAAAGTTTAATAAAAAAAACGTAAAACAATTAAATAAATAGTTAGGTCCCTTAATATATGAGAAGCTCGCATGCCAAAAATTTTATCCAACTATATACAATGAGAGATCTCTAGTTTTAGTATAATTTTTAATGCATTGATATATACTTATTAGTTTATATATTTTGATATCAAAACTATTGTATTAAAGTTTGTATATTTAACTTGATGTCTAACAGGTCTCTCTAAAATTTTATGCCCTTAAATTCAATTTTGTATTCAATATGTATTTCAACTTTAAAAAAAAAATCTAATGATCAGTTCGAAATCTTCTGGACACAGAAAAAATATAACTATTTCTGATAAATCTGTCCAACAATATCTTATATGAAGAAAAAGATGCAACTTTAAATATGAAAATGAAAAAAATAACTAAAATAAAACAATATCAACAAATCTAATAGATTATAAATAAAACAAGTCAAATGCGGCTTAGTTTTGGTATTATATTATAGATTTAAAAGGATAAACCCTAACTCCCCATCCTCTATTTGCCGGTGCACATCGACTTTGATTGGTCGACTATGACAATCCTCTAAGTTACGCCAAAACTGACGCAACGTGGAGATCTTCACATTTGGTAGTGGAGAAATTATTTGTTGATGAGATGAGAGAGGAACTAATTCATCAAAACTTGTGAAGATGGGAAGATCTTTATGTGTTGTTTATGGGTATAATCCACTTTCGTGGATTTATCATATTCAACCCTTCACTTTTGATTCTCTCCATGGAAGACAGTGCCTATATTTTGTTTCATTCCTCCTACTAATTTATTGAATAACATTTTATTTGCTATTGGTTACCCAAATCAGACCTCTTTCCCCCAAAACTCAATTTTCTTCCAACTTATTTTTAGTTGATGGAGAGATAGAATATCAAATCATATATTTATGTTGTATTTCTATTTTTAAAGGATAAATGCAAGTAATATCACATTTTTATTGCTGATTTTATTGGATATAAAATGCTTATCCAATTTTGGAGATAAAAGTTATTGGAAAATTAGAAAATGATATATATAATTACATCAACTAGTTTAGTTTTTGTCTTAAAAAGATGATGTTTTGATTTTTTAAAAATAGAGAATGAAATAGGAACAATACAAAAAGTAAAGGTGAAAGTGAGATCATAACTGAACACATGCAAGCCTAAACTTCTTTTTTCTTCGTTTGAAAACGGAGAGTTAGGACTTTACTCAACCCACGGCACCCACCACAAGGTCCACACGGAGACAGTAAAGACTTTTGATATTAAGCTCATCAAAAGATTCGAACTTGAAACCTTTAAGTCATTGCCGTAGAAGGCACGAAGGAATTCAATTAATCAGTATGCAAGTTGGCATCAAAATAAACTCACAGTTCCAAACCAGAATTCTTGAAAGAAGCATTCGTCAGACAGCTAGAGAATAAGGAAGAAAAATAATGAAAGAATATAGATAAGGGAAGTGATCGTCTTCATTTCATGCACATCTAGGAGAGTATTTTGCTTCACATCACTAACACATACTTCTACCTATGTACCTGGATCTGATCTGATCGTAGTCTCGAGGTCAGATTCTTGTTCCACTCTCTTATCTGTTCAGCATCGGGCTCGAGTCCTGCGTATTGAATCTCATTTCGTGTTGAGGTTGAATATACACACTTTCAATTTCTGATTGCTGCTGCACATTAAGATTGTTGCTATTCGGGGACGTTGCTTGAACTTCGTTACGAGACTCTGCCAACATCTGGAAGTATGCATGAGGTCCCCAACCTGGAAATACGGCGTAAAAGATACTGAAAAGTCAGTTCAATAACTAAATGAATGCTCTCAAGAGTCAGACTACTTGAGTTGCGATTGCATACAAGAATTATAAGGACAAATGCAGTTATTGATTATAGATACAGCATTGTATAGAATTGGGCAAAGCTTAGGATCCAGCATAAGCTGCAGAGCAAGAGTTCCAAGAAGATATGGGATGGTTACATTATCTACATCTTTTTTCTTTTTTTTTAACAACTGGGAATCAGAATTTTGCTCCTTCTACCCAAGGGCATCCGTGCCCGCCCCAAGGCCGGGACAAGGGAAGATTGCAAGTATTCTTTAGTCACATTTGCACTTCAACAACCAAAGTTCAGGTCAAGGGAAGATCATCTATTGAATCATGCAAGGAAAAATTGACTACAATAGAATGGGTAACACAAATTCTTCCTTATTTATACGTCCACATTTATACAAATCATTCATTATTTTATTTATTTATCTAAGTAAGATATATATCTTATCGTCACTTCTTTCTCTACAGAGGGTTTCCATTCAACAATATAAAAACCAACAATCTATGCTTGCTTCAAAACTATGACTTGGGTTAATAAGATCTGTGATGATTAATGAGGTCCACATCCTGGCTATAACATAAGTGGTGCAAGAAGATCTTATCTAAAAAAAAAGTTGTGCAAGAAGAAAAACTACATCCCAGCCAAAATTAAATTATAATTTTAAGATACTACCCAACGTAGCACGAGAAAGATCTAGTTCAAACGTTTATGTTATCACGGCTGACCAATCAATGTTTCTGCTAACAAGTTACTAAAGATGTAGACAGAAAATTAAGAAAAAAACTACTTTTGACCATGCCAGATGGACATAGGCATTCTAAAGATGTTTAACAAAGAATTAAGAAAAAATTACTTTTGACCATGCCAGATAGATATGGACATGGTTAGGTCTGAGACTCATAACATGGAAGAAATGGTTAAAAGGTTGATTATTGGGTAAAAAAATAATAAAAATTATCAAGTATAAACTATTGCTTCATCTAACATAAAGATAGAACTTCTGTAATAGAAATTAATGATGTTTAGGACCATACCATCAATGTGATAAGGTAGTGGAAAGAATTGCAGATAACAGAATGAAGCAACTGTCAGCCCTGTGCAAAAGGTTCAGATAAGACAAAAGCAAAAAGAGCATATAAGAAAGTAAGAACAAAATAACAAGGTCTTGGATTAACTCACCGAGAAGACCTCCAGCAAAAACATCTTGCCAGTGATGCCAATAGTCATCAACTCGAGAAACACCAACAAGAGCTGCAATAAGCAACGGTAGGAAGACAATACAGAGTTTCGCAATATGGCCCCTTTGGTCAAACGCCCTTATTTTCCCAGCCAAATACCAAGCAAGAAATCCGAGGCCAGCAAAAGACCCTACTTGTAGACAGATTCCTATTAGTAAGTAGAAACACAAGTGAAAGCAAATAATCTGAATAGGAGAAAAATTCAACAAAGGCAATACATAAGTCCTAAATAAAGCATTCGTATGCATTAATCCACAACATGAGATACAAAGCATTAAGCAATGCCAAGTCAAGAAGCCAACAGCAAGAAACTAGTAACCCTTATTACGCAAAAGTCCTGACGATGTATGTTGTCCTTGTATGTCGCACAAGATCGAATTGAAATCTTATGGTGAAAAAATCAAATCAGAGTAATATGATATGACTTTGTACATTAGGCCAACACTATCAGTCTTGACAGGGCGCACTGGTAGTTTCAGAAGATAAAAATCTGATTTTATTCAATCGTCTACCAGAGTATGGGATTTGAATAAGATACTAACATAAGTAACAAGTAACAGAAGAAATGTGGTTGATTTCACAGGTGCTGAATGTGCAAAACTGATATAAGAAAGTAAGAAGCCTTCCTATGTCCCCGGGAATTAGTACACTACATACATTTCAATTCTCCGGATATTGGGTTACCAAGAGAAAATACAACTCATATAAATGGTTGCTACTGAGTTCCCTTAGTTTAACATGCTGTACATCATTGCCACTTTTAATGATAAATATAAACCAACCAAGCGTGTTACACAGAGATTGAATCTGTGTAGCATGTGCAATTGTCAAAGAAAATAAATCATAATTAAAAAAAATGAAAAAGATAGATGATTGTGTTCCTGTAACATAATTCAGAAAGTATGCATCTTACAGGAGGTATGCCCACTCGGGAAACTTTTATATCCTTCTTTAATAATGCTCTTGTCTCCTGTACATAAAACACCAGTTGAGTTTCTATCAAACACCTGCACATATCAAGCACAATTGTTATAAGTGAGTAACAAATATTAAAAAAACATAGTGGCTTAGAAACACGAAAGATGTTGGCAGAAAAACATACCCCTTTGCCATCAGGAAAACAACGCCAAAAGAAGTCTGGACGTGGTCGACCAACAGCATCTTTAATAGCATCGGTCATAACTCCAGTTATTAAAACAGAAAACAGAACTCCTGAACAAGCATGAACAATCATTAAATGGGACGCTTGGAAATATCTTCATGAATAATTGCAAGGACTTCAAATAACTATAAAACGAGTAAGAGGGAGAAGCACTACCCAATATGGCATGGTGAAGATCATAGACATCCTTTCTGATGAAATAGTAGATATGAAATGCAACAAAGGGTATCAATATCGCAATTATCTGTTACAGGAAAAAAGTAAGTTTTATTTCTTACTTAGCACAATAATGTCCGGAAAATAAATTACCATAGAATTCACTACACTACTAGCAAATGATAGTTTTAGACATACTGGAACTGCCCAAACGGGGACAGTATTATCCTGCAGAGGGTATTTCAGGTCCGTCATCATCTCCTGTCCAACAAAGCGATGAAACGGTTCTATAACGTTTAATACAACCTCTATCACCACAAGAAGTAAGAGGATCAACCAATCATGCATATGGGTTCTTGCCAATCGAGCTCCATGGGATCTCACAGTATGAGTACCCAATTGAATTTCTGGCATTTCTCCCGTGAACTGAAAACACGAGGAAATCAAAACCATCAGTTAAGAGAATGTATAGATTTAATTTAAGCACCACCAACAAGAAATAATTAAGCGTACAATGAAATCGGTGAAAAAAGTATAATCAGAATCAAAGAGTCAGAACCATGAAATTTTAACACGAGGAATTTTCCAAGAGTAAAGCCCCTTCTGAAGTAAAAATGACAAAAATCGAGTGAAATTATAAATTATTTCCATGAGAACCCTAGTATACTAGCCATCCTAAACAAGTCGATGATAGCAAAGCAGACATTACTGCAGTATGTTCAACAATGGAAATTTGGTAAGGAGACTGGGTCACAAATCTTCTAAATGGAAATTTGTGCAACGATTAAAACGAACACACACGCACACACACAGAGAATGAGTTGAAAGTAGAGTCCTAGGATTATTCAAACTCAACACCGAGCCACCATAGCTCATCTAAACTCTGCAGATTCGGTCCTGAATGAACTAAAATTAAATCAACTTCAAATAACCTCGCAGAAAGAGGAAGGCATTGAGAAAAACAACTCATCGTCGAGTTATAACCCAGAACAGAGAAGGTTAATAAATGTAAAAAGAAAACAAAAACAACAGAACTGTGTGAGTAATTCAACGAAACAACTGAAACCCATTTACAGAAATGAAGTCAAAATTAAAGAAAAGCAGAGCAAAACAGAAAAAGAAAAAAAGGCACCAAAAACAGAGAATGAAAAATGGGTGGAAGCAGAGAAATTACCTGTGGCTGTGCCAGTGGAATCTAGTTTCAATGGAGAAGAAGAAGAAACATGGAGGGAGAGAGAGAGAGGAGAGAAAAGGGAAAGGCAGGCAGAGAGATAAACGAAACCAAATCCCTTCGAAATTTGAATAGAAAACCGCGTCGCGCTTAAGAGGAGTGGGAACTGCGAAGGTTCTGCATTAACCAGCCAAATCCAAATGCCAAAAGCCAAACCAAAATCCAACTGCTCTTTTTTCTTTTCTTTTTTTTTTTTATAATTTAATCGTGATTTATTTCTAATTATTTCTTTAAATTTAAATGTTAGTTAATATAAATTTCTTTTTTTTTAGTTTAACAAATATAGGTGATAGATGTGAAAATTCAACTTTCAACCCGATATAGGTATCTCAACTAGTAAATTGTGGCCCGCATAAGCATAACAGTAATTGACATACATTGCTTACTTCTAAATCGAATGTTTGATTACCCATATTTTCAAATTATTGTACTATGCAAAGAAAAAAGAAAAACTAGTAAATTGTGTAGCAAGTTGATGGTATAAATACACTTTTGGGCAGGTTAGCATTTTGATTTTAGTAAAAGTATATTTTTTAGATTGGGTATTTAAGCGATAATAAGGATATTTAAAAATGGGGCAACATTTTATTAATAAATTTACACAAAAAAAAATCTAATGAAATAAAATATATTTTTTTAGTCTAGTTTAAGCAACAAAATATCTGGTTTTAGTAGTACCATAAAGGTGAGGATTGTAATTCAACCTTCAATTTCAAGGAATGAGTAAAATGTATTAACCGTTGAGCTGTATTCATATTAGCACGTAATCTAGTTTACTTGGATTAAGTCCAAAAAAAGAGGGAAGACATAAGAAGCTATCGTTTTTAATAGGATTAGGACAAAATTGGATAGACAATGGAAAAACGAACTCTCTCTGCAATGGAGGAAGAAGACTTTTGGGGCAAAATTTAGACACTAATTGCCATATCGTTTTAGACTATGCTACGTAAATTTAGGAAGGTTTGCTTAAAAACTATTTTTGGAGCCTTTTATGAAAAATCTGGATATTTTTTAAAGCAAGATAAAGTTGTTTATCTTTCCCCTCAGAATCTCATTTTCAAACAAGGTGGGAAATAGGATGATAAGGCAACTTTCTTTCTCAATTTTTCTAATCATCCTGCAAAATAGTCTTGTTTGTACAAATAAGGAGAATCAGAGCAGCAAAACCAGAGGAAAAAGAAACTGGTTTTCTTATTCATGAAGCTACTAGATTCAAATATCTCAACCACTTCTATTACATTACATCTATTCACACAAAAAATATAGTCTCCTAAACACCAAGCAAAAGCAAAGAAAAAGACCTCCACGGAGATAACAAACTGTATCAATCATCTTCCCCCCATTTCCATGTCGTCGTAGGTTTGGCTGGGCACTCGATGCAAAGGCGATGGTGTGAAGTACGTATCTCCATTTGGTCTCGGACGTAGCTCAGGTACAGGCGCATCACCGACAGCCATGGATCGAGTCACATTTGCATTGGCACGAAACTCCTCCTGTGCTTGGAAGTAAGCGTATGGTCCCCATCCTAAAACAAGACAATGGTTTAGGAATCATGTTACATAGAACAAAGAATGAAGATTTTGTCATTAGTCATTACCATTGTCATTATAGGGAGGTGGGAAGAATTGAAGGTAGCAAAATCCTGAAACGACCAATCCTATAATAGCCCCGGCGAACACGTCTTGCCAATGGTGCCAATAGTCATTCACTCTAGAAACGCCCACGAGCGATGCGCCGAGCAGTGGGAGAAAGACGAGGCATAGTTTTGCAACATGTCCTCTGCCATCAAATGCTTGGATCTTCCCAGATAGGTAAAAGGCAAGAAATCCCAAGCCTGCGAAGGACCCTGCAAAAAGAAAAGTCCTAAACTACATCAGCAACATTTTTCAATAGACAGTAGAAAGCATTTGAAGTTGAAATAGGTGAAATTTTTTGCCTACATGAAGTATGACCACTAGGGAAACTCTTGTGTCCTTCCCTTATTTCGCTCTCCTTCCCGCTACATATCACGTTTCCCGATCGATCGTAGGCCTAAGACGATAAGAAAAACGACCCTCGCTATAAGGCTATAAGAATATATATACATTGAATGGGATATTCTCAATCATCAGACAGACTTCTTTGTTTCCTTTAACATAAGGAAGCATCAAAATGAATGTTAGTTACCTCTTTGCCATCGGGAAAGCAACGCCAAAAGAAGTTGGGTCGAGGGCGGCCAACGCCATTCTTTATAGCGTCGGTGATGATAGCGGTAATCAGGACAGAAAATAATAGGCCTATTCATAAGAATTAAGAACAAATGAATATAGACTGTCAAAATACAGAAGTAGTAATATTTTTTATAGGTAGCTCGTCTTCGTTGCAAAAATGTACCTAAAATGGCGTGATGCAGATCATAGACGTCCCTCCGCCGTATATAGATGAACAGGAATATCAAAATAGGCAGTATAACAGCATACAACTGACAAACAAAAGGGAAACGAAACACTGTCAACTACACTGCTAAGAGAACACATGTATAACTTCTAACTTTTTTGTCACAGAAAACAAAAAGTTCTCCAAAGGCTGCAAAAGTTTTACCAAAAGAGAGGATTCAAATCTTTCCTGTAAATTGAGACCATAGTCATGAAGGAATACCACTTAAAAACAACAGATGGGTTTTTTCAAATGCCAAAGAAGACATCAGATTCTGTGAAACTTCTCTTACATGAATGACATGAGCTTGTAACAATTATCAAAAAGAGGGGGCAAGAGGGAAAGGCTAAACTTACAGGGACAGACCATACAGGAACTGTATTATCTTTGAAGGGGAACTTAAGATCTTCCATCATATCCTTTCCCACATAGCGGTAAAATGGATGAATTGACACTAAAGTGACTTCAATTGCAACAAGAAGCAGAAGTATCAGCCAATCATGTAAGTGAATCTTTGCAACTTTGGCTCCATGGGATTTTATTGTATGTGCTGCTGGATCTATCTCCCTTGTCCCACCCTGAAAAAAGCCCCAAAAATAAATCTTTGTTGGCCAAGAACAATATGACCCAGTTCCCAAATTGGGGGAAACAGAGCCAAAAACTCCATTAAAACAAGTTACCCTTTTGGAGAACTTGTTGTCACTCAAAAACAGACCTGAAATATAGTTGGGAAAGAGAAGAAGGAAACTAATTTCCTCCACCACGCCATGGACGAACAGAACAGAAGATTTTTCACTTGCAAACTTTGTGGTGTTGCTCCAAATGACAAAAGAGGAATCCTTCAGGAACAAAAACGTCGTTTAATTAGTATTTATGTGGATGGCTCGACTATTACTTTTCTTTCCTTTTTTTAAAGAAAAAATGTCCCATCTCAAATGGGAATTGAAAAGGAGGAGGAAAAATCAAATCCCAACCAGAAAACGAAGAAAAAAGCAGGAAGCTTCATCGATTGATTTACCTTTGAGAAAAATGGAGATGGGTCCGTCACAGTGACTGAATCCAAAAACTTTTTCTTTGTCCCTCGAACTGTTTGATGAAATTGAGGCCGACGGTTGACGAGGGATACGATACGACGCCGTTGAATTGAGGACAACGGCGATTAACCGTCGGGCGATGAATCTTAATATACGGTAGGGGAGCGAGTGAATACCGAATAGTCGATATTTCTTGGAAAATTTCTTGCGACGAGTTTGAAGAATTCGACTCGTTGACTTTTACGATTCCCATCGTTTGGGAGTTTGACTGTTCGTCTACGCGTAGTGGTAGCGCTTCCAAAATACCTTCCTGTCCGGTTCCAAATGGGGAACGTGACCATCTTCTTGCCTTTTTATTATTTTTATTTTTTTGAACGCAAATTTCCACTGCCTATATTTTTAATTTCATAGCTTGCTGAGAAAAATATATTTAGTTGTTCATGTTCCGTTCTTAAATCCCAAGTGAAAGTATGTTTATTCTTTTGGTTTAGTTGATTTTGGTCCATACTTTCGAAACATTTTTTTTTTCATTTTACTACCTATACTGTCGTTTTCATCTACATTTATAAAATTTTAACATAAATTCTATAAACTATATAAATTCTTCAATACATATTTATGACTACATTTTAAGAAATAAATGAGATATAAATAAAAATGACTAAAATAGTCATTTTTTAAGGATATAGGAATTAAAACGATTCAGTCACAAAACAATATTTAAAACTAATTCAAACATAAAAAAATGCATAGGCGTATATATATTATTTTAACTATTTTTTTTTTTTTTTGACAAGTAGAAATTGTTAATTGCTTCTTGTTTTTTTAGCAGGAATAATTTGATTAGTGCCGATCATTGACTAATAGCCAATGATTAAATCAAAGTTTATTTATTTATTTATTTATTGTTTTGTAATATTTATAGAATATTTAAATTATTAAAATGTCCATTGAATGGGCTTCGGACAGTTGCGAGTGGGTCAGTGGCGGAGGCGGACGGTTGGGCCTTTAATTCGGTTGATACTATTCAAACCGTTGGGTCAGTTAAGAATGGAAACGGACCAATGAGAATTAAGTACTGGAATTTGTTTGGGTCATAATTGAAGGGTAGGAAAATATACACGTCCAACAGTTGAACAGAATCCTTCACAATTAAAATTTTAGGTTAAAATTATGTTTTAGTTTATGTAATTTTGGAACTAATTTGTTTCAATTTTTTTACTTTCAACCAATCTTAAAAATAGTCACCACCCTTAATTTAAGGTTAATTGTCTAAAAAAAATGATGTTCATATTGAAATATAGACGATCTCCCTTAAAAATTTATACAATATGTTTATATTGTGTTATTTATTGACCGAATGTTATTATTATATTTTTGTCAAACCAAATAGAAATTAACCTCAGACTCCGAGCATACTTCAAATGGTTCAAAAATAAAATTTTCTTATTTTTTACTTTTAAAGATTTTGTTTTTAACATATATTACCATCCTTGTTAGTTGTAATTTGGATTTTAAACCTTTAATTGTTGTATTTTAGTTTCTATTTAATAGAAATTTGATATATGAACGTCTTTGGTTCATTTACCTAATAAATAAATATTTATAGGAACAAGTATTTGAATTGAGATATAGTAGGCATTAGGGTTCCAAATTGAGGGATTGATAAAAGACAAAGTAGCTAAAGGTTGGGGAGTATAAAGATAATATTTAAATAAAAAATTGCTTAAACTATTGAAAAACTATCCCAATAAAAGGTGATGTTTACCCCACTAATTACAATCATCCATTAAATTAAAGATAGGAATTAGAATAGATATTTGATTATGATTTGAAAGTGGTGAGAAGGGCCAACTTGCAAGATATTTTCGAGTGATGGATCATCCCATCACCAAGTTGAAAGCTTGGTTGGTCCATGGTAATTATCTTCCACAGCAAGGTTTAGTGATAAATAATTACATCATTTTCTACTGATTCAACTTTCATTTTAAGGGAAAAAAAACTCGGTTCGTACCTGAATTCAATTAATTAAGATATATCTTCGATCTATAGATTGATGATCAAAATTTCACCCACGTGTCATTTAACAAAACAAAAAGACAGACAAATTGACATCTAAAAGTGTGTTTGCCATACCTTTTAATTTAATCACTTTTAAAGAAATTGTTAAAATACACCCTATCAAATGAGTTTAATTAAAATCCTTGTGTGCTGAGTTAAATTTTCTTAAAAATGATTTTAATGATAAATTTGTTTGATACCCGAGGTCAGGCCGATCGAATCGAGACGTTCACTTTGATAAACTAATTTAATTATTACAAAAGTAGTGAAAAAAATGCATTTGAAACACTCTCTAAGTCTTGTTTTACCATCTTTCACTCCACGCATCCCATATATGTAATTTGAGTCAAAATAATATCATTTATAATATTTTTATCTTTTATATATATATAAGTCGATTTTGTTCTTTTGTTATTCTATTTTTTAGAAAAACTTTTAAATTTTTAACCAATCGTTTTGTTTAATAATGATTTTGTTCCATTTTTAAGAAGTACTCTTTTTATTACCTCTTTCTCTGCTTTGTACTTTATTTTTAAGAATGATAACTTAAATTTAAAATCTATAAATAGTTTAACAAAAGAATTTTTAAAAATTAAAAAACAAAGAAATAGTCAATAAGTACAAACTTATTCTTCAAAGAATATAAAACTATAAATAGTGTTGTTAAACAAATAACATCAAAGTTATTTCAAGGTGGAATGTCAAAATCTTCATCACTTTTGGTTTGAATTTTTTATAAACTGTCTTATCAAATCTCCACTAAAAGCTATAGTAATAAACAATATAATGGAAGTAAAAAAAAAAAATTTATTTTTCAAATAGTGTTTTGTGAATCTATCAATTCGCCTTGGTTCATACTCTTAGTTAATAATATTATTTATTTTTTTCCAAAAAAAATATTATTTAGTGAAACTCACATTTTTAAATATTATTTTGGTACTTGTACTTTCATATTTAGTTCATTTTAATTTTTGTACTTTCAACTTTTGTTTATTTTAGTTACAGTATTGTTAGTTAAAAGTGACTATTTTAGTCTTTATTTACACAATTTTAATATAAATTTTACACATGTTTAATACTAATTTATAGCTATATTATTTCAAGAACTGTTGTAGTAATTAAGTGAAGTGTAAAGTTGAAAATGTATAGACCAAAATATATGTTTTGAAAGTATAGAATCAAAACCAACCAAATTGAAAGTAAAAATATAATTTTTCTATACAACTCCAATATTGATTTTAAACCTACAATACCCCTAACTAATAAGGAGTTTTTGTTTTTGTTTTATCTTACTCTTCAAAACAAATATAAATTGAACTCCATATTGGCACCATTCAAATTTCTCTCTATTATATTGAACTCAATTATAGGCCCACATGATCACCCAATTTTCCCAATTTCTAATAACCACTATTATAATTAGGTGTAAGGTCATGTATAATTATATTGTTTTAAGTTTCAAATAAATAATGTCAACTACTTTATATAATTTTGACACAGAAAAAAATATTAAATTTTAATAACACTTTATTTTCAAACCCTCTTAAGAGGAGAACGATTATGAATATACTAAACCAAAGTCATAGGATAAGACTATTATTTAATTCATACAAAGCCAAGAAGTAGATGCCATTATTCAAGTTGGGTCATCTTCATTATTAGTGTCTCATACGTACTCATAAGGTCGAGAAAATTAAAAAGAAAACTTCTCTTGAGTTATAATTTTTTTCCTTGCATTTTTTCATAATAGTTGGGTAATGGTTTTCATGGGTAGGGTAAAAATGGTATTTAATTACTTTTTATTTTTTAAATATATATGAAATGATGTTAAATTTAAATGAGAAAAAACAAAAGAAATAGATAGTAATTGAGGACGGACCTGTAAAATGCAAAAAGAGTACTTCGAATTGGGGTGTTTCAAATTTAGAAAACCCCTAAAAAAGGACTCCAAAATTGGGTTAGTGGGCCAAAATTAAATATGGATCCCTCTCAAACCCAATAATATTGACATTAATTACCAAAGCAAAAGTGGTCTATTTCTTTTGGAATGGTAATTGTCCAGCAATGACCATCCATCTTATCATTTTAATTAGCATCAATTAACAACATTTAAACAACAAAATCTTCTTAATCAAACTCTGGGATTACCTCTACTTTTCAAGCTATTAAATTGACGGTAACCCCATTAGTTTAAGCTTTTTAATTTGATTAGTGATATAACATATATACATATTAAAACAATGTCGTCTTATCTTTATGGTGTACTTGCAAGGGGAGGAAACAGTACGTTGTTTCCAATATCTAACGTCTTTGGATCGAGAGTGATTCAGAGGACGATCTACCGTCAGATCCAGACTTGAATGAAATATAATCATATACCGCCGCCACCAATGTTGTTATTATTATTATTTTTTTTTATGTATACTTTTTACTATTAGACAATATCCATTAAATCTCATGATTGGTACGTGTCTATGATTCTAAATTCACTGTGTTTAGACATTGGATTCTCCTCTAATTCCCAAGTGAATGGAAATAGGATGGTGAATTGGGAAAAAAAGAGCAAGTGGGGTGTGGCTATGTTATGCGTATTGCATTTTGTACCAACTTTGAGGGCAAGTTGGGGAGCCGTAAAGCATGCAATTTCCTCATTCTTTTGACAAACTGTTGCTTAAAGTGCTCCCAAATGTGTCCTCTATTTCCCTCATTCTTCTTTCCTTTTCATAATATTGTCTCTCTACTTATCTACAACTACATCATCTCCCATTCCCTTCAAATCTTTAATTCCCCATTTTCCAATCTTCAGATTTCTCACTTTGATACTTGTCTAACTTTATGGTTCTAGGGTGAAATCGATCCTAAAGGGATATTTTAAGAATATTCGTTGTAAAGTAGGAAAATTTCAGAGCGTCAAAAGTATGTATCTGCTATCATCATTTACATTCAGATGCGTGTTGCGTTTATAAGGAGTGCAAACAAAAGTCCCACATTGACTGGACAATTATCTTCATTGATATGAAACATTTTTGCAAAACAAAAAACCAAGTCTTTTGCCTTTGAAAGAGTTAGACTCAAAATTAATTATAACATTTCTTGGTGATAGATAAGATAACTCAACTTACAACATATTCAATTGATTTAAAATTTCAATCAAGGGTTGATATCTCCTTATATTTTCATTTGTACCTTTGTCA